ACAGGAGGCGATGGCCATGCTGATTTGCAGGTTTCGCACGGGAGATCGGATAGCTCACGGCACCGTTGACGGCGACACCGTCGTGGAAGTCCAAGGAGGTCTCTTTGACGGCCTCAAGGAATCGGGCAGCAAGTACGCGTTGAGTTCGGTCAAATTGCTGCCGCCGGTGATACCGCCCACCTTTTACGCCGCCGGCATCAACTTCCCCGAGCACGTCACCTGGGCCGCCCAGATGCGCGGCGAAGAGCCCAACCTTCCGAAGAAGGCCGACGTGGGTTATCGCGCGATCAATGCGTTGACCGGCCAGGGCGACCCGATCATGGTCCCCGCCGACGCAACTCAGGAGTTGCAGTACGAGGGCGAGGTCGTCGTGGTAATCGGCAAGGAGTGCCGGAACGTCAGCCAGGACGAGGCCCTGGACTACGTCCTCGGTTACACCATCGGCAACGACGTCAGCGAACGCTACTGGCAACGCAACGACCGCACCATGTGGCGCGCCAAGAACACCGACACCTTCAAGCCCATGGGGCCGTGGATCGCCACCGGCCTCGACCCCGACGAACTGCACGTCACCATCCAGGTCAATGAGCGCGTCGTGGGCGAATACGACCTCAAAACGGCGATCTTCGGCGTCCGCGAGTACATCAGCGACATGAGCAAGTACCTCACGCTGGTTCCCGGAGATATGCTGTGGATGGGGACCGACGGCGCCACCGAGAACATGAAGGACGGCGACGTCTGCGACATCACCGTCAACGGCATCGGTACGCTAAGCAATCCGGTGGTGTGGGGCAAGGCCTGATTGATACGTTCAACGCTCGGTAACGGGGCGGGTTTATCTCCGCCCCGCATTTGCCGTCCAGTCGCCGGTAGGTCATGACCACTTCCGGCGACTCTTTGGTATGTCCGCGATGCGGATCGGGGCACGCTGCGGAGCACCGCTTTTGCGGTATCTGCGGCTCCGAACTGCCCGCGACCGGCCCGTCGTCTCCAAGATCTACCGAGGAGTTGGACCGCCTGACCGGGGCCCCGTACGCGCCGGATAGCCTGGCCAGGACGCCGGGCAGCGGCCCATTGGCTTCGGATACCGCCTACGCCGGGTCGCGTGACGACGCGTTCCCGTATTACATTCCTCCCGGGCGCATTATCGCGCTTACCGTGCTGAGTTCGGGTCTCTATATCTTTTATTGGATGTACGCCACCTGGCGACAATACCGGGAGCATACGGGCGAAATCGTCTTTCCGGTGATGCACGCGTTGGCGCTGCTGGTGCCGGTGTACCAGTTCTTCCGGTTCCACGCCCACATGCGGGTCTACCAGGAATTGATGGAGCAGCGGGGCGTGCCAACCACGCTTAGCCCGGCCCGGATGGTGCTCGTATACTTCGGCGTCGTCCTCCTGGGAATGGTGTCATTCATCCTGCCAGCGGAAGGCCCCCTGACGACGCCCCAGCAGGCGGCCTACATAGCTATCAACATCGGCCAGGTCACGCTGTTGTCCTGGATACTGTGGCACGCGCAAACCAATATCAACCGTTTCTGGCAGCACCGGCTGGGCGTCAGGCTGGGGTGGATGCCCCTGAGTTTCACCGAAATAGCGGTGGTCGCCGTGGGCCTGATACTCGGTTGGGGAATGCTGGCGATAATTCTGATCGACCCATCATTGTTGAATGTCGGCGTTGAAGTGCCTGCCGGGACGGGCGCCGCATCATAGATTTAATTTCGTATTGCTGGGCTCCGTGATGATTGGGGTTGGCCAGCCTGAGATGACGATAGTCACCGTCCAGGGTTCTCGGTAACCAGCCCACTTTGCGCCGTCGATGAAGTGGCGCCGCTGGGCGGTGCAGACGGAACACGATACCTGCGGAGGGGGAGATAATGCCCTTTTTCTGGTTGATCGTGGTGTTTGCCGCGTACTTCGCGATGCTGATTGGCATCGCGATAGCCGGCGCGCGCCGCATGCGCGATATGTCCGAATACGTGCTGGGCGGCCGCCGGCTCAGCAGTGTCACGGCGGCCCTGAGCGCCGGGTCGTCCACCACCAGCGCATGGACCATGATGGCGTTGCCGGCGCTGGCGTTCACCTACGGCGCGGTGGAAATCTGGGTCCCGGTCGCCATCGTGACCGGCGTCTGGCTCAGCTGGACGTTCATCGCCAGCCGGCTGCGCCGCTATACCATTGCGGCGGGGAAACGTCCTCACCATACCCGAGTTCTGCGAGGGTCAGATTCGGCGACCGCACTGGCGCGCTGCGGACCGTCGCGGGCCTGACCACGGTGCTGTTTGTCATCTTCTACGTCAGCTCCGGTCTGGTGGGCGGGGCCAAGCTGCTGGAGACGGTGTTCGGGTTGGACTACGTCACCGGAGTAACCGTGACGCTGATCGCCATACCCTGATCGGCGGGTTCATGGCAGTGTCCCGAACGGACGTCACCCAAGCCCTGCTCATGCTGGTCAGCCTCCTGATCATGGTGGTCGCCCTGGCGGGATGGACCGAGAACCCCTTCCTGGAGATCGGAAATTATTCGTCGAGTTGGCTGAACCCCTTCAACACCGGTGACGGAGAGGCGATCACGTTCGCCGCGGCGTCGTCCATGGCCGGCTGGGCAGTCGGAGGTCTGGGAGCCCAACGCATACTGCAACGTTTCATGGCGTTGGAGCGGGAAGACCAGGTCAAACGCAGCCGGCGCATATCGGTAGCCTGGTTGATCTCGGTTTTCGTGCTGGCGGTGATGCTGGGCCTGATCGCCCGCCCCGCCCTCGCCGAAATCGGCATGCTGGATCTGGCCGCGGATCCGGAGCTCGTCTACCTCGTGATGGCGGAGTGGGACATCCAGCCGGCTACCCCGGGGTTCATCATAGCGACCGTAGCGGCGGTAACCGCCACCTGGATGACGCCGCCACCGGCGACAGAGGTCCTGGCGCTGTTTGACAAAGTGAACGGCCCCGAAGTATCCGGGGCCGCGACGACCGCTGAAACCTGACCTTCGGAACGGAACCGCGGTCAGATACCGAGCGCGATCTGGACCATGCGCTTTTCCAGGGCCAAGGCCATGTCGGTGGCCAGTTGCGTCCGGTCGTGCTCGCCAATGGAGCCCACGAAAGCCACACCCAGCAGCCGACCCACTCGGAAGTCGATTACCGTGGATGACAGCAGACCCGCCGGGCCGCCCTGCAGAACGTACAACCCCACGGACTCGTCGTAGAACCCGTCCGTTTCGACTTTTTGCACCGACACGATCTGCTGTCCAGAGCCGACGCTCTCGCCCACGTTGTCCTCAAAATCCTTCACAAAGATATCGGACATCCAACCCGATACCTGGTCAGGGTTCTCAAACAGGTGGACCACCGTAGCGCCGACAAAGTCGGTGCCGCTGGCCGGAGACACATCCGCGGTGGGGACGAACTCCCGCATAAACCCGCCGATGCGTCCGGCGGAGCGAAAACGGTCGGCCGTGCTGCCATTGAAGCCGTTTTCGGCCATCTCCTGATTGTCCAGCGGGCCGGACCTGGCCAGTTGGTAGCCGTGCAGAGACTCGGGCAAGTCGCCGGCTTCCAACGCCATGTGCTCCAGGTCGGCCTCGCCGACGCGGAAAGTGGCGTTCCACAACGGGTTGGATGACACGGGGTGGTTCCTCCAGTGAGCTTTCAGTTTCAAGGTGTGGGGGCGAATGATCATTCGCCCCCACACTGTGGACCAACGTGGCTACGCGGCGATCATGGGATACACGTGCCGCCCGCGGGACATTTCCACCGGCACGTCGGTACGGGTCCACTCGTTGCCGGCATCGTTGCTGCAATAGACGTGGCCGTCGCGGTCGCAACAGTAGACGTTGCGCGGCGCGTTGCGGTCGATGGCGATCTGGAACATGCGGGCCGGGGCGACCTCGCCGATATCCACCCGCTCCCAGGTCTCTCCGGCGTCGGTGGACCTCACCAGTACGCCGGAGTCAACGGTGCCGGCCGGCGCGCTGCCGCCGCCGGCTCCGGCTGCCAGGTACATGCGGTTGGGGTCACTGGGGTCCACAACCAGATCGCGGCAATAGCTGCCGCCCTCGAACATCTCGTCGATGGGTACGAACTCCCAGGACTGGCCGCGCTCCCGGCTCCGGAACATGGCCAACTGGGTGATGATGTACACCAGGCCGGGCTGGGACGGATTGACCTGCACGCCGTGGAGGTCCACCGGCCCCAGGCGGGTGTAGTGGCCCTCGGTGATGCAGGACCAGTTTTCCCCACCGTCACGGGAAGCGATGAGCCCGCCGACTTCAATAGCCCCATACACGTCGTCGGGATGGGCGGGATCGATACTGAGGCCGATGACCCGCTTGCAGATTTCGTTAGGGTTCATGGTGATGTGAGGATGGACCAGCCCCTCGGTGTTCGTCTGACGCCAGGTGTTTCCGCCGTCGTCGGACCGGCACACGCGCCCCGCGTCATAACCGGCGAACATGATCGACGAGTCGTTGGGGTGAACGGCCATCGACCACACGTCACCGCTGAGGGTCTCGGTGCGACGCCAGTTCTCGCCACGGTCGTCGGTACGGTACACGCCGTCCTGGGTGCCGGCAAAAATAGTGCCCGGTTCGTCGGGGTGGGCCAGCAGGGCGCGGATCTGGGGGTTTTCGGGCAGGCCGTTATCGATGGAGGCCCATTCGGACTTGCCTTCGGTGAGCCGGTACATGCCACCCTCGCCGAGGGGGGTACCTTCAGCGCCGATGATCAGGGCACTCTCGCCGGCCAGGCCGACGTATACGTTGGTGTTGTGCGCGGTGACGGTTGTCATTGCATAATCTCCTGGAGTGCGTGCGGGTTTCGGTTTTGCAGATTGTTGGGGGAATGGTGCGGCTTGTCAAGGGCAACAGCGGTTATGGCCACATGATCCAGCCGGTGCGGCCGGTGCGGGCGCGGAAGAGGTGGCCGCCGCCGGTGGTCACGTACAGCGTCTTCATGTCGGCGTCGCCGAAGCAGCAGTTGGTGGGCCGGTCGACCCGCATGGGATGGGTTTCGAGCACGCGGCCCTCGGGAGAGAAGACGTAGATCTGCGGGCCCGGGCCCGCAGCCTCCCAGCCGGCGCAGACGACGATGTTGCCGTCTTCGTCCAGCGTCATACCATCCACGCCCCGCTGCACGCCCTGGCTGCCCTGGCCGCGCAGGTCGCCATCCGCGGCGCCGCCATCGATGCCGAAGGTGTGGAGCGTCTTGTACTCACCCAATGAGCCGTCGTCGTTGATGGGATAGGCGCGCAGCTCGCGGCGGCGGTCCGCGCCGTAATCACTCTGGGCGATGTAGAGGGTGCGTTGGTCGCGGCTGATCAGGATCCCGTTGGGCCGGCTGATGTCGGTGGTCGCTCTTACGAGATCCCACTGGTCGTTGCCCTTGGGGTCCAACCGCAGCACCGACATGTGGTCGAGCTCCTGCGGCCCGCTGTTGCCGATGCCCGAATACGGGTCGGTGAACCAGATGCGGCCCGACTTGTCGACGACCAGGTCATTGGGGTTGTTGTGCCGTTTGCCGTCCAGCAGGTGGGGCATCGAAATCGCGGTGTTGCTTCCGGCGTCAAAGCGGGCGATGCGCCGCCGGCCCTGCTGGCAGCCATACAGGTTGCCCGATGCGTCAAAGCACAGGCCGTTGGTGTTGAAAGCCTCGTCAAAGTACTCGGAGACTTCGCCGGTCTTGGGGTCGTAGCGCAGGATCTTGGAGGCCGGTATGACGGTGAACAGCAACGCTTCGCCGTCCCAAACGGGGTCCCTCCGCAGTGCCGCCGTAGGGTCCGGCTACCAGTTCAAAGCTCCAGGACATGGGGAACCTCCTGTGGTTTGTGGCCGCAGTTTAGCACGCGTTGCAGCGTCGGGGCCGAACGTTGACGCAGTAGCGACATCAACATTATTATCGATGTTGGAGGAGCAATGGGAACCTTTAGAGTACAGGTAAGCGTGGGACATCCGGCCGGAGGGGATTTGTTCCCGGTGTCAGCGATGGTTGATACCGGAGCAACCCATTCGATGATGCCTCAATCGTTGATGGCGAGTTTGCGAATTGCACCGCTACGAACCAGCCGATACAGCATCGCCGACGGCAGCACCGTTGAGTACGAAGTGGCTGACGCGCGGTTTGGAGTAGGTGAGGAAGTCCGATATTGCCCGGTGATTTTCGGGCCCGATGACGAGTTTCTGTTAGGGGCAACCACGCTCGAGATTTTCGAACTGGTCGTCGATCCAGTGGGAGAACGTTTAGCACCCGCTGACAGATTGACACTGTAAATATCTGAAACGACACCGGGGCGATTGATCAATCGCCCCGGTGTCTTACTGTCCTGCTGTCGATATCGCGACTACCGTCCCCGCAGCCTGGGGTCGAGGGCGTCGCGCAGGGCGTCGCCCAGGAAGTTGATGGCGAAGACCACCACGGATATGGCGACGCCGGGGAACACGGCCAGCCACCAGGCGATACGGATTTCCTCGGTGCCACGGGTGAGCATGCCGCCCCAGGTGGGGATGTCTGGCGGGACGCCGACGCCCAGGAAGGACAGCGACGCCTCGATGATGATGGCGAAGCCCAGGGTGATGGTGCCGAGCACGATGTAGCTGGCTAACACGTTGGGCAGGATGTGGCGCAGCATGATGCGGATTGAGCCGGCGCCGATGGCGGTGGCCGCCAGGGTGTAGTCCAACTCCTTGATACTCAACACCTGGGACCGGATTACTCTGATGGTGCCAGGCAAAAGGATAACCAGCAGGGCCACGATGACGTTGTTGGCGGAGCCGCCCAAGACGGCCACCAACCCCAGGGCGAGGATGATGGGCGGAAACGCCATCATGGCATCCACAATCCGTTGGATGGCGAGGTCAACCACACCCCCCACGTAGGCGCTGAGGATACCGACCAGAGCGCCCAGGGTTACGCCGATACCCACGCTGAGCAGGCCGACGTATATGGAAATCTGCGAGCCGGCGATAATCCGACTGAGTTCGTCGCGGCCCAGGTGGTCACTGCCCAACCATGCTCCCGGGTTGCGGCGACAGATACTTCTCTTCATGGGCGCGGACGTCCAGAGGATCGTGGGGCAGAACGCCCGGGACTACATAGGAAACCGCCGCTGCCAAAATGGTGACCATGATGATAACGGCGCTCACCGCGCCAAGAGGTTTGGAGCGGGAAAAAGCGATTATCTTTTGGGCTCGGGACTGGCGGGGGCGCATCCCCTGTAGCTGAAATTCAGCTTCGCCGCTGGCCATCGTTCGGGCGGTGTTGGTTGTGGTCATTCTATCAACGCTCCTCAAATGGACACTGTTGCATCGAGGCTAGGCATACCGGATCCGGGGGTCCAGCAAACCGTACAGGAGGTCAACCAGGAGGTTGATGATTACGATGGACACCGCGATGACGATGATGATTGCCTGAATGGTGGGGAAGTCACGCTGGAACACGGTCTCGATGAGCAGGGTCCCGATGCCGGGTACTTTGAAGATGCTCTCGATGATGACGGTGCCGCCGAAAAGACGTCCAAACTGCCAGCCCGATATGGTCAGGATGGGCAGCACGGCGTTTTTCAACCCGTGGCGCACCAGCACGATACGCTCTGCCAGGCCCTTGGCACGCGCCGTTCGCATGTAGTCCTCGCGGATGATCTCCATCATCGAGGAGCGAGTAACCCGGGCGATGAACGCCATATCGTAAAACCCCAATGCCAGGGCCGGCAGGAACATTTGCTGGAGATTTTTCCAGGGGTCATCCCACAGGTCGGCGTACCCAAGGGGAGGCAACCAGCTAAAACCTCGGGATAACAACAGCACCACCAGCAGGCCAGCGAAGAAAGTGGGTATGGATATACCCACCAGGGTCACAACCCGGGACAGGTAATCGACTGCGCTGTCGGGTTTGATGGCGGAAACGACTCCCAGGGGGACCGCGAAGGCTATGGCAATGAGAATTGCCAGCACGGCGAGCTCCAGGGTTCGGAATATCCGGTCACCCACCAGTTTGGAAACGGGTTGTCCGGACCGCCAGATAGAAGTGCCCAGGTCGCCCCGGACCAGCCCGCCGATCCAATCCACGTACTGAACGACGATGGGCCGATCGGTACCCAGTTGGCGGCGCAAATCTTGCAGTTCTTCCTGGGTGAAAGCGGCGTCGCCTTCACTCAGAATTACCAGGGCTGGGTCGCCGGGCAACAGCCGCATCACCGTGAACACGATGATGGACACCAGCAGCACGGTGGGGATAATCAGCGCGATGCGCTTCACTGCGTACTGTCGCATGGAACTCGCCTTCTTTTGGTAATAGGGGGCGACGCATGCGCCGCCCCCTATGTTGATAAGACCGATTGTGCTATTGCACCGGCATTGTCAATCCGGTGCGACCGCCTAGCGGTCCAGCCACAGGTCTTCGTGCTTGAACTGGTATTGGACAGTGGAAGGAGCGTTGAACCCCTTGATGTCGCGGTGCACCACCCAGAAGAGTTGACCCAACTGCATGGTAACCCAGTGGTTGTCTTCGAAGGTTTGGAGCCAGAGCTCGGCTTCCTTGTTGATCTCACGGCGGGCTTCGGGGTCGAGTTCCACTTTCTGGTTCTCGAACCAATCCACCACCGAGTCGTTGGACCAGTCGGTGTAGTTGCGGGTGCCGCCCTTGAGGTAGACGCCACCGTAAACGGCGTCGGCGTCAAACACGACCATGCCCTCGCCCTGGCAGCTGATTTCCCAGTCACCGGAGGAGCCTTCGGCGCGGGAGGTGCCGTACTTGGCGTAACCGGCCGCGCTGGGCAGGGTCTCGATGTCGCCGGTGATGCCCAGGGCATCCTGCAACTGCTGCTTGACGATCTGGCACTGGTCGGGGTAGTTCCCGACCTGGCGGACAGTGTACGTGACTTCAAAGCCGTCGGGCACGCCGGCCTCGGCCATCAGGGCTTTGGCATCAGCCAGGTCCTGCTGCCCTTCAGCCGTATCCTTGGAGCGGATGCCGGGCCAGTCCAGGCACACGTCATTGGCGTGGGCCAGACCCATCAGCGGGCAGTAGCTGCCGCCGGAGTTGTCAAAGACGCGCTCGTCGATTTCCTGACGGTCCACGGCCAAGTTGATGGCCTGGCGGACCTTGTGGTCCTGGAACTGGGGCTTCTTGACGTTGAGCATCAGGCCCCAGTTGGTGCCGGCGGCGATGGGGTGGGCCACATACTCGCCGTCAGTGCTCTTTTCGAGGTCGAAGTACTGTGTTGGGGACAGGTTGGTGAAACCGCCGTTGGCCATGTCGAGGCCGCCGGCCTCAAACTGGGCGATCAGCCGGTCCTTGGCCGTCCCGGGGAAGATGTAATGCTCAATCCGGTCAACGTAGGGGCGCCCATCTTTGAAGTAGTCAGGGTTCCGGCTGACTTTGTAGAAGTCGCCGACCTGGTACTCTTCCAACATGTAGGGGCCGGAGGTGGTGCCTCGCTCGATGATGTTTTCACCGAGGTTGAGGAAGCACGGGTTGGCCGCGTCGCGCACCGCACAATTGGGGTCGGAGTCCAGCTGGTGTCCCGGCAGCACCTTGGCGTAGTCAATGGCCAGGAACTTGATGAATGCGCCCGAGGCGAACTGGAGGTTGAACTCGACGGTCTTGTCGTCGATGGCCCGCAGCACGTCATCCTGGTTGGTGGCGGTGCAGTTGCCGCCGGCCTTGTCAACCACTTCCATCTTGACGGTGTAGTTGCGCCAGAGTCCGGAACGACCGGTGCCGTTGCACGGGTTGGCGTAGCGGGAATGGGTGGCGATGACGTCAGCCGAGGTGATCTCGGTGCCGTCAGTCCACTGCATGTCGTCTCGCAAGTGGAAGGTATAGGTGAGGCCGTCTTCGCTCACGTCCCACGACTCGGCCAGGTCGCCAGTGATTGCAGAGGTGTCAACCGTGTCGTACTGCACGATCTGATTGTACAACTGCGAGTAGGAGATCACGCTGGACAGGGAAGAGGATCCGAGAGGATCCCAGTCCTTGGTGTCGGCGTAGGCGGACATCAGCAGAGTGCCGCCGGACTGTGGCCCCGCGATAGGGGTCGGAGTGGCGGCAACGCGCGGGGCCGCGGTGGGCGCCGGCGTGTTGGTAGGACGCACCGTAGCGGCCATGGCCTCAGGGATCGGCGTGTTGGTGGGCTGCGCCATTGCGGGAGCCTGAGTGGCCGCCGGAGCCGGCGCAGCGGGCGCGGCCGGCGTTTCGGCTCCGCCGCAGGCGATGCCGACCATCAGAGCGGCAGCGCCCGCGATGAGCGGCAGCGTCCGCAGGAATGGTCGGCCGAGGATAGATGGCTTCATAGTTGGTTAGAACCTCCCGTCGCGTTATTACGGATCTGTGCCAATGCGGACGGGCGAGATCAGGGCTATTGTCCGCAATTAGAAAATATAATCCCCGGAACGAGCCATTTGTGAAATTAGCCACAATCCCTGAGATACGAGGAGGAATGGTATCCCACCGAATTCGCAGTGTCAATAGACAATGTATCGGAATGGGCAACAGGATTACGAATTACGCAAAAAATTGGCCCCTTCCAATTGGAAGGGGCCAGTGATGACGATGTAATTCGACCCTACCGACCGCGCAAACGGGGATCGAGAGTGTCGCGCAAGGCGTCGCCCAGGAAGTTGATGGAGAACACAATGACGGAAATCGCCAGGCCGGGGAAGACCGCCAGCCACGGGGCGTTGCGGATGTATTGCGACGCGCCTTCGGTGAGCATCCCGCCCCAGGTGGGCACGTCCGGCGGCACTCCAACGCCCAGGAAGCTGAGCGACGCTTCGATAACGATGGCCAGACCGAGGGTGATCGTACTCAGCACGATGTAACTGGCGGTCACGTTGGGCAGAATATGCTTGATCATGATCCGCCACGGCCGCGCTCCGATGGCCTGCGCCGCTAGCGTGTAGTCCAGTTCCTTGATGCTGAGGACCTGCGAGCGTATTACCCGTATCGCCCCCGGGACGAGAATCACCACCAGCGCAGCCACGATGTTGTTGGACCGACGCTCCAAGCGCCGCCATCAGCCCCAGCGCCATGATGATCGCCGGGAACGCCATCAGCGCGTCCACAACACGCTGAATGATCAGGTCCAGCACGCCGCCGACGTAGGCGCTCAGGATGCCAACGGCGGTCCCGATAGTGATGCCGATGAGCACGCTCATGACGCCAACGTACATTGAGATGCGCGCTCCGGCGATTATCCGGCTGAAAACATCGCGGCCGAGGTCATCGGAGCCCAACCAGGCAATGGACGAAGGGGACACAAAGGGGTCGTGAACCAGGTCCAGCGGATCGTGGGGAACTATCACCGGCGCCAGGACGGCGGCCACCAGGGTCAGGATAATTATGGCGGCGCTGATGCCTCCCAGGGGTTTGCTGCGGCAGAACCGCATGATATTGCCGTACCACGTGGGACGCGGCCGCATATTGACCAGCGTGCCTGCGTCCAAGGCCGCGGCGTTTCGGGCGCTCAGCGCGTCATTGGGCGTTTGGGTTGTCATCGCCAGTTCTCCAATACCAATGACTCGTAACGGCTAAATCCAATCGGACAGGTGGCCCTACGCATAACGGATACGCGGGTCCAGCCACCCGTAGAGTAGGTCAACCAGCAGGTTTACGACCACGATCGACACCGCCACGATGACGATAATCGCCTGGATTGTGGGGAAGTCCCGCTGGAACACGGCGTCAATCAGCAACTGGCCGATGCCCGGTATCAGGAAGATGCGCTCGATGATCACCGTGCCGCCGAAGAGCCTCCCGAATTGCCACCCTGATATGGTCAGGATGGGCAACACTGCGTTCTTGAGCCCGTGGCGGGACAGCACGATGCGCTCGCGCAAGCCCTTGGAGCGGGCGGTCCGCATGTAATCCTCGCGGAGGATCTCCATCATGGAGGATCGGGTCACCCGCGCGATGAAGGCCATGTCGTAGAACCCCAGCGCCAGCGCCGGCAGCATCATCTGCTTGACGTTGGCCCAGGGGTCTTCCCAGAAATCTTCGTAACCCAGCGGCGGCAGCCATCCAAAGGCGCGGATCAGCACCAGGGTCAGCAGGATGCCGCTGAAGAAAGTCGGTATGGATATGCCGACCAGGGTGAAAATGCGTGACAGGTAGTCAAGCGGGCTATCCGGCTTGATGGCCGAAAGCACTCCCAGTGGCACGGCGCAGACTACCGCCAGTGCGATTCCCAGGACGGCCAACTCGATGGTGACCGGGATGCGTTCGCCCAACCGGTCCATCACCGGGCCGTTCCACCAGAAGGAGGTGCCGAAGTCGCCCCGCAGCAGCCCACTCATCCAGTCGAAATATTGGACGACGATGGGCCGGTCGGTGCCCAGCTGGACGCGAAGTTCCTGCAGTTCCTGCTCGGTATAGGCAGCGTCGTCCGCGCTGAGGATGGCCAGCGCCGGGTCGCCGGGGATGAGCCGCATGACGACGAATACGATCACCGTCACCAGCAGCACAGTGGGTATGAACAACCCGATGCGTTTGGCAGCGTACTGTCTCATGTGAGCCCCCTGACGTCCCTGACGCGATTGGAACCTGCGCCGTCCATTTGACTAACGGTCCAGCCAATAGTCTTCATACTTGAAGAAGTATTGCACGGTGGTGGGCGGATGGAACCCCTTGATGTCGCGGTGGACGATCCAGAAGAACCGGTTCCAGCCCAGGTTGACCCAGTGGTTGTCGGAGAAATCGGCCAACCACAGTTCGGCTTCTTTGTTGATCTCCCGGCGGGCGTCCGGGTCCTGTTCCACTTTCTGGGCTTCGAACCACTCCTCGACCAACGGGTTGGTCCAGTCGGTGTAGTTCCGCGTCCCGCCCTTGTTGTAGATGCCGCCGTAGAGGGCGTCGGGGTCGAGAACGACCATGCCTTCGCCCTGGCAGGATACTTTCCAGTCGCCGTCGGAATCAGGTGAGCGAGAGGTGCCGTACTTGGCGTAGCCGGCGGCGCTGGGGAGGGTTTCGATGTTGCCGGTGATGCCCAGGGTTTCTTCGAGTTGCTGCTTGATCACCTGGCACTGCTTGGGGTAGCCCGCCGCCTGGCGCGCGGTGTACTCGGTATCAAAACCGTCGGGGTAGCCCGCTTCCGCCATGAGCCGTTTGGCTTCAGCGATGTCATCCTGGCCGCCCGGGCTGTCCTTGGGACGGATGCCGGGCCAGGAGTAGCACTCCTCGAAGGAGTGGCCCATGCCGCCCAGCGGACAGGCGATGCCGGCCGTGCTGTCCCATATCGTCAGGTTGATCTCGTCCCGGTCCAGGGCCAGGTGAACGGCCTTCCTGACTCGCGGATCGTTGAACGGTTCCCGCTTCACGTTCATCATGAAGCCCCAGTTGCCGGAGGGCGGGAACTCGTGCATCACGTATTCGCCTTCCATCCGCTGTTCGAGGTCCAGGTATTCGCGTGGAGTCAGGTTGGAAAAGCCCCCGTTCATCATGTCGATGTTGCGTCCTTCGATCTGTGCCGTCAAGGTCGCGGTGTCGACGATGATGAAGTGCTCAATGCGGTCGAAGTAGGGTTTGCCCGGCTTGAAGTAGTTTTCGTTCCGATTCACGAAATAGGAGTTGCCCGAAGAATACGATTCCAGGACGAAGGGGCCAGAGCCGGAGTTGTGCTTGATGATGTTCTCCGACAGGTTCAGATCCACCCCCTGTTCCAACAGGTGCTTGGGCAAGATCTTCACGTAGTCAACGGCCATGAACTTGATGAAAGCGCCGGAGGGGAACCGCAACGATACCTCGACCGTGCGGTCGTCCACCGCCCGCACCACGTCGTCGGCGTTGGTGGGTGCGCAGTCGCCACCGTCCCGGTCGGCCACCTCCAAAGGCACGCTGTACTGACGCCACAGCCCAGAGCGGCCGGCAGCGTTGCACGGGTTGCCGTACCGGAGCAGGCTGTACACGACGTCGGCGGAGGTGAGCGGCTCGCCGTCGTTCCACTGCACGTTGTCGTGCAGGTTGAAGGTGTAGGTCAGACCATCGGCGCTCACCTGCCAGTCGGTAGCCAGGTCACCCTCGACCTGGGCCGTTTCCACACTGTTGTAATGCACCAACTGGTTGTACAGCTGTGAGTACGAGATCACGCTGGACAGTGAGGCGGAACCCAGTGGGTCCCAGTCCTTGCTATCCGCGTAGGCGGACATCCGGACCGTGCCGCCCTGTTGCGGCGGGCCGCTGGGCACGGGAGTGGGTGCGATACGCGCCTGGTATTCGGCCACCGGCGTGTTGGTGGGTCGGATGGTGGCCTCGGGTGGAGGAGTAAACGTCGGCGTGGGATCGGCTGCCGGCGCGGCGGGGGTCGGCCGGCGCCGTGGTTGCGGCGGCGGCCGGAGCCTGGGAGGCCGGTGCTGCGGTGGCAGCCGGAGCCGCTGGCGCGGCGGGGGCCGGCGTTTCGTCGGCGCCGCCGCAGGCTACCGCTGCCAGCATCGAGATGCTGGCAGCGATGCTGACCATGAGGGCGGGTTTGAATCTGAACGTCATGTGTTTTTCCGTGCCAAGGCTAAGGAGTGTGATGGCGCACCGGTTACGTCTAGCGATCCAGCCACAGGTCTTCGTGTTTGAAGCCGTACTGCACCGTTTGCGGAGCGACGAAGCCCTTTACGTCCTGGTGGACGACCCAGAAGTTCTGTCCGAGGGTGAGGCTGACCCAGTGGTTATCGGAGAAGTCGTGCAGCCAACGCTCGGCCACCTTGTTGATTTCGCGGCGTTTCTCGGGATCGAGTTCGACCTTTTGCTCCTCGAACCAGGCGTTGGCTTCGGAGGCTTCCCAGTCGGTGTAGTTTCGAGTACCGCCCTTCAGGAATATCCCACCCCAGATAGCGTCCGGGTCCAGCACGGTCATGCCGTCGGCCTGGCAGCTGATTTGCCAGTCGCCCTTGGCGTCGGCGGGCCGTGAGGTCCCGTACTTGGCGTATCCGGCCGCGCTGGGGAGCACCTCGATAGCGCCCCGGATGTTGAGAAAGTCTTCCAGGTCCTGCTTGATGACCGAGCACTCGTCCACGTAGGTTCCCACCTGGCGGACGGTGTACTGGATCTCAAATCCATCGGGATAGCCGGCCTCAGTCATCAGGCGCCGAGCCTCGGCGATGTCTTCCTGGCCGCCCGGCGTGTCCTTGGGACGCATGCCAGGCCACGTGGCGCATTCCTCCAGGCTGTTGGCCATACCCACCATCGGACAATGACCACGCCCGGCGTTGTGCAGGCCGCGGGCGTTATGCTTCTGGCGGTCGACGGCCAGGTTGACGGCCTGGCGCACCCGGGGATCGGTAAAGGGCTCGCGCTTGATGTTGAGCATCAACCCGCGCGTTGCGCCGCCGAAAACGTCGTGGGCGACGTATTCGCTATCGGTGCGCTGCTCCAGGGCGTAATACTCCGGCGCGGTGAGGTTCATAGTGGCAGCGTTGGCCATGTCGATCTGGCGCGCTTCCACCTGGGCCTGCGCAGTGGCGGGCGTGGTGATGATGTAGTGTTCGATGCGGTCCAGGTAGGGACGCCCTTCCTTGAAGTAGTTCGGGTTTTTGTTGACGACGTAGGAGTTTCCGGACTGGTACGATTCCAGGATGAACGGGCCGGATCCGGAGTTGTGTTTGATGATGTTCTCGGCCAGGTTCAGGTCGATATCTTCCTCAAGAAGATGCTTGGGCAGGATCTTGACATAATCGATGGCCAGGAACTTGATGAACGCGCCGGAGGCGAAGGCCAGGTGGAACTCGATGGTCTGGTCATCCACCACGCGCAGGGCATCTTCCGGATTGGTGATGGTGCAGTCACCGGCGTCGCGATCCGCGACCTCCAACGGGTTGGCATACCGCCGCCACAGGCCGGAACGTCCGGTACTGTTGCAGGGGTTCCCGTAACGCAGGAAGGTATGGTGCACGTCGTCGATGGTGAATGGCGTGCCGTCATTCCAGGTCACGTCGTTCCGGAGTCTGAAGGTGTAGATGGTGCCGTCTTCGTTGAGGCTCCAGTTTTCCACCAGGTCGGGGATAACCTCGTTGGTGACCGTGGTGTCAAACTGCACCAACTGGTTGTACAACTGGGAGTAGGAGATCACGCTGGACGTGGACGCCGAACCCAACGGGTCCCAGTCCTTGGTGTCCGCGTAGGCCGCCATACGCACGATGCCGCCGCTCTGGGCCGGGCCGCTGGGGAGCGGGGTCGGCGCGGTGCGCGCGATGGCGGTGGGGGCCGGAGTGTTGGTGGGCCGCTGCGTTGCCGCGGGCGGTGGAGTGGCGGTAGGCGGCGCGTTGGCCGGCGGCTGGGTAGGCTCCGAAGCCGCGGGAGCCGCTACCGTAGAGCCGGGCCCGGGCGCGCTGGCTCCGGTGGCCGGGCTGGCTGTGGTGGGCGCTGCGGCTCCGGTGTCTGCCGGAGCGGCCGGGGCTGGCGCTTCCGCCCCACCACATGCGGTTGCGATGACGAAAACCGCCGCGACGACGGTGGAAATAATAAACGGTCTAACTCTATACGACATTGACGCAAAAGCCTCCTGCCAAGGTCGGAAACGCCCGGATATCAGACGATCCCGCCGTACCGTTGACCGCACTTTGGCTAGTTCGGCACAGCGCGGCATATGCTAGTCGCGTGCCAATAGCATGTCAAGGAAACAAATCAGTATCATTCACCTACGGATTAGCAATCTACGATATACGTCACTATCTCAATATACGATAATCAATTATCGGTTTCGTAAATTATTGGGGACAGTCATTATGACTGTCCCCAATATATGTGCGTTTTCCGTAAACCCGGCGCGACGAGCGCCGGCAAAGCGATGCCTAGCGGTCCAGCCACAGGTGCTCCTGTTTGAAGCCGTACTGGATAGTCTGGGGAGCAGAGAAGCCTTTGATATCGTGGTTCATGATCCAGAAGCTTTTGCCCAGGGTGAGGCTCACCCAGTGATTGTTCGAGAATTCGTGTAGCCAAAGCTCGGCTACCTTGTTGATTTCCCGTCGCTTTTCCGGGTCCAGTTCAACTTTCTGAGCTTCATACCAGGCATTGACTTCCGGCGCTTCCCAATCGGTGTAATTGCGGGTGCCTCCCTTGAGGAAGATGCCGCCGTAAATTGCATCAGGGTCCAACACCACCATGCCATCGGCCTGGCAACTGATTTCCCAGTCGCCGGTGGCGTCTGCCGGGCGCGCGGTGCCGTATTTGGCGTAGCCCGCGGCGCTGGGCAAAGTTTCGATGCTTCCGGTGATACCCAGATGCTCTTCCAGGTCCTGCTTGATTACGGAACATTCGTCCACATAGGTGCCCACCTGACGGACGGTGTACTGCGCTTCAAACCCGTCGGGATAGCCAGCCTCGGCCAACAATTCGCGCGCTCTGGCAATGTCTTCCTGGCCGCCGGGCGTGTCTTTGGGGCGCATGCCGGGCCAAGTAACGCATTCTTCCAGCGTATTGGCCATGCCGACCAGGGGGCAGTGCCCCCGTCCAGCGCCGTGCAGACCTCGGGCGTTGTGCTTCTGCCGGTCAATGGCGAGGTTGATGGCCTGGCGGACGCGGTGGTCGCTGAAGGGTTCCCGCTTGATGTTGAGCATAAAGCCGCGGGTTGCGCCGCCGAACACGTCGTGGCCCACGTATTGGCTATTGGTGCGCTGCTCCAGTTCGTACACTTCGGGAGCCGTCAGGTTCGAACCCGGAGAGTTCGCCATATCAATCTGCCCGCCGTCGATTTGGGCCAGAAGCGTGGCCGGAGTCGTGATTATGTAGTGCTCAATCCGGTCAAAATAAGGCAGACCTTCCTTGAAGTAGTTTGGGTTTCGGTTGACCTTGTAGTGGTTGCCGGATTGATAGTCTTCAAGGATGAACGGGCCGGAGCCGGAGTTGTGCTCAATGATGTTGATGGCCTGATTCAGGTCAACGCCCTGCTCCAAAGGTGCTTGGGCAAGATCTTGACGTAATCGATGGCGAGGAACTTGACGAAAGCGCCGGAGGCGAACGCCAGGTTGAACTCAATGGTTTGGTCGTCGACCGCACGCACTGATGCGTCGGGGTCGGTCGGGGTGCAGTCTCGACCCTCCCGGTCGGCCACCTCCAGGGGGACCACGTAGCTGCGCCACAGACCGGAGCGCCCGGTGCTGTTGCAGGGGTTGCCGTAACGCAACATTGTGTGCAGCACGTCATGCGCGGTTAGCGGCATTCCGTCATTCCACTGCACGCCGGCGATCAGGTTGAAGGTGTACGTAGTGCCGTCAGGGCTGATCTCCCAGCTCTCGGCCAGGTCACCAACCACTTCGTCGGTGTCCGCGGTGTCGAACTGCAACAGTTGGTTATACAGTTGGGAGTAGGAAATGACGCTGGACAACGAGGCAGAACCCAGGGGATCCCAGTCTTTCGTGTCGGCGTAGGCGGACATATTGACGGTGCCGCCGTGCTTTGCCGGGCCGCTGGGTACGGGCGTGGCCGCCGTGCGGGCCACTGCGGTCGGCGCCGGCGTGTTGGTGGGTCGAACCGTGGCTTCCGGCGGCGGCGTAGACGTGGGGGCGGCCGCCGCGGTGGCAGCCGAAGCCGTGGTGGCCTCAGTGGCTGCGGCTGCCGGGGCAGCCTCTTCCGTAGGTTGGGGCGTCTCCGCTCCTCCGCAGGCAATTCCCGCCGCCAGCAGGACGGACGCGACGACACTCGCAATCAGGGTCGGTTTCAGGTACTTCGACATCGTAACTCCTTCTTCGCGGCCGGCGGTTCGCCCGGCGGAAATCTGTCGCGAACACCGTTATGGCGAAAATTCCACACTGCTCCGCAAACTGTAATATTAATCATTCGTTGTGTCAATAATTTGTTACGTTTACCGTATTTTTTCTTTTATAATGGACTGTCATCGATTGCATCAGCGTTGTAAATGAGCGGTTTACGTAAAATCGGATTATCCGTGCGGTGACGGGCCGGAGTGCGGGCATGGCGATGGGCGCTTGTTGACTACTCGTCCTCGCGCCGATAGGCTTTTCGCGCTGTTGCACCCCGATCATCTCCAGGAGCGCCGACATATGACCGACACCGCTGCCGTGCAAACCCCAGCCACCGATACGCCGGTGGACGCCAACGGATACATCCTCGTCCGCCGCGAACCGCCGGTGGCCACCGTGACCATCAACCGGCCGGCGCAGCGGAACGCGATCTCGCTGGATATGTGGGTCGAGCTGACCCAACTGCTCCGCGAACTGGACGGCGACCGGGACGTGCGGTGCGTGGTTATCGCCGGCGCCGGCGATGAGGCGTTTTCGGCCGGCGCGGACATCAGCGACTTCGAGCAGCACCGCAGCGATTCGACCAAGGGGCGGGTTTACAACACCGCCGTGGACGGACTGCTGGAGACGGTGGGCGAGATCGGCACGCCGGTCATCTCGATGATCCGCGGGTTTGCCGCCGGCGGGGGCTGCGAGCTTGCCGTGGCAACCGACCTGCGCATCGCCGCGGAGGGCAGCCGGCTGGGCATACCGGTGGCGCGGCTGGGCATCACCATCGGGCACCGGGAGATGTACGGGCTGGTGAACCTGGTGGGCAAGGGCAACGCGCTGTACATCCTGCTCTCCGGGCGATTGCTGGATGCCGACGAGGCCCTGCGCATCGGCCTGGTGAACCAGGTCGTTCCGGCGGACAAGTTGGAGGAGGTTACGTACAAGCTGGCGGCGGACATTGCGGCGCTGGCTCCCCTTTCCCACGCCGTCAACAAGAAGACAATGAACCAGGTGCTGGCCAAGCCGTCGCTGGACCTCACGCCTGACGAAGCCGACCTGCCGCTGACCCAATTTGACACCCGCGACTACCACGAGGGCTTTCGGGCCTTCCTGGAAAAACGCCGGCCCCAGTTCATCGGCGAGTAGCGGTCCAACCCGTGTCCGAAGCTCCGCAGCAGAATCGGCGCAAGCCGGCCCGGCAACGCGCGGACGTGCTGCTGGTGGAGCGGGGACTGGTGGAAAGCCGGGAGCAGGCGCAGGCGTTGATCATGGCCGGCGCGGTGCTCTCGCCGACAGGGCCGGTTCAGAAGGCGGGGACGTTCCTGCCTCCCGACACGCCCCTGGAACTGCGCGAGCGGCTGCCCTACGTCAGTCGCGGCGGCGTCAAGCTGGCCCACGCCCTGGACACGTGGGCGGTGACGCACGACATTGCGCTTGAAGGCGTCACCGCCCTGGACGTGGGCGCGTCCACCGGCGGGTTCACCGACTGCCTGTTGCAGCGCGGCGCGGCGCGGGTGTACGCGGTGGACGTCGGGCACGGGCAGCTGCATTACCGGCTGCGCCAGGATGCGCGGGTGGTGTGCATGGAGAAGGTGAACGTCCGTTATCCTTTTGAATTGCCCGAGTTGGTGGATCTTCTGGTCGCCGACGTGTCGTTCATTTCCCTTACGATGGCGTTGCCGGAGCCATTGACCCACCTGAAGGCCGGCGGCTGCGCGGTCCTGCTGATCAAACCCCAGTTCGAGGCGCGGCGCGGGGAGGTTGGCAAGGGCGGGATCGTGCGGGACGACACCCTGCGCGCCGACATCCTGGCGAGGGTCCAGGGCTGGCTAGCCCACCGCGATGACGTCACCGTGGTCGATACAATTGCGTCGCCGATCACCGGGGACGCGGGGAACCGGGAGTTCCTGACGCTGCTGCGCAAGCGCTGATGATGACTCGGGCGTACCCACGTTGTCATCGCGAGGATCCTTTCAGCGACGAGATTGCCACGCTGCGCTCGCAATGACCGAGGGGTGGCTCGCAGCGACCGAGGGGTGGCTCGCAACGACCGAAGGGTGGCTCGCAACGACCGAAGGGTGGCTCGCAATGACCGAGGGGTGGCTCGCAATGACCGATGGTGCAAAGTGGGTAGGCGTGAGCTGATGATGAACGCCTTCCGACGCTATAATCCTCAAATCCCAAACTGATACTGCATCCGTATATCAACTTTCAGATTGCAAACCTGTTCGATGCAATTGATGCTGGTTGACCGGAGACCCGAATGATAATTCTGACCAGGTTGGCCCTGCGAAGTCGGACGGTCACCGTCATGATCCTGATCCTGGTGCTGGCGGGCGGCGTCTACGCCTACCAGCAGTTGCAGCAGGAGCTTTTTCCAGAGATCAGCCTGCGGGTCATCAACGTGGTCACCTCCTATCAGCAGGGAACCCCGTACCAGGTTTCGCAGGACGTCACCAAGCCCGTTGAAGACCTGATAATCGGCATGGAGGGGTTGAAGGAAGTAACGTCGACGTCCCGGGCCACCCGTTCCCAAGTGAGGGCAAGTTTCAACAACAACGTGGACATCGAAGAAGCCGAGGCGGAAATCCTCAGCCGGGTGTCCAGCCTCCGGCTGCCCGATGCCGCCGACGACCCGCGCGTGTACGAGTTGACCCCGAACCAGCGGCCGGTGATGGAGCTGAGCGTATCGGGTCAACGCGATATTCCCGAGCTGCTCCGGGTAGTGGAACGGCAGGTTGTGCCGCCGCTCCAGGCGGTTCCGGGCGTGTTTGACGTGCAGGTTGAGGGCGGTGTCAACGAGCAGGTATTCGTGACGGTTGACCCCGAGTTGCTGAATACCTACGGGTTGACCATGCAGAACGTGATCGGGGCGCTGCAGAGCAATTCGGTGGATGTCAACACCGGCAGCGTCGAGTCCAGCGACGGCACCGTGACGGTTCGGGCCTTTCACGGCTACAGCGACCTGGACGCGATACGGAACCTGCCGGTGGGCTTTTCCCGTCCCGACGGTGGGCCGGCCGCGGCTCGCGGGGCGGGCGGCAATGTCACGCCGATTCGGATGTCTGAAGTGGCCGACGTGGAGGTTGCCACACCCGAAGCCACCACCATCTCGCGCACCAACGGGCAGCCCAGCGTCAGCCTGAACGTTCTCAAGACCGGCGACGGCAACACCATCGAAATCACCCGCGCCATCGATGATCTGATGACCGCGCTGTCGGACGATCTGCCGGCAGACCTGGAAATAGGAGTGATCGACAGCCAGGCTCCCCGACTGGAAGAGGAGCTGGGCAAGGTGATTGGACAGGGCGCCCAGGGCTTCGCGTTTGCCGTGATTGCGGTATTCCTCTTCCTGCTGCAACTGCGGCCGCGGCCTTTCGCCGGCATCGCCAACGCCATCCGCCCCACCATCATCATTGCACTGTCCATCCCGCTGAGCGTGATGGTGACGATGCTGGTAATGGCGCTGCTCGACTGGCCGATGAATTTCATGAGCCTGGCCGGCCTGGCCATCGCCGTGGGCCGGATCGTGGACGACAGCATCGTGGTGCTGGAGAACATCTACCGGCACATCCAGGAGGGCAGCCCGCGCGCCGTGGCGGTGATTGCCGCGACCCAGGAGGTCAGCGCGCCCGTGGTGGCGTCCACCCTGACCACGGTGGCGGTATTCATTCCCCTGGGATTTCTGCCCGGCGTGGTTGGACAGTTCTTCTCCCCCTTCGCACAGACGGTGTGCGTTTCGCTGTTGGCGTCCACCCTGGTTGCCCTGACCGCCGTTCCGGTGCTGGCGTCCTGGTTCCTGCGGCAGGGCGACATGGTCGAGGATCCCGCGACGCCCCGGGGCGATACGTACCTGCAGAAGCTGTACACCTCCGTGCTCCGGTTGGCTCTGCGCTACCGGCTGATCACAGCCGTCGCCAGCATCGCGGTGGTGCTGGCCAGCCTGACGCTCATCCGGGAGCTGCCCATTGAGCTGTTCTCCCAGGGACGCACCGAGGGCATCCGCATTGACCTCACCCTCCAGGGCAATCCTTCCACCATCCAGCTGGTCCAGGAGGTCAGCGCGGTTGAACGCATTTTGGACGGGTTCGCCTCGGATGGGGCAGTGGAGAGCTACCAGGTGACGCTGGGCGCAAGCAGCCGAAGCTTCGGTTCCAGCGCCGACGCGGCCTTCGACCGGGCGGGTTTCAACATCCTGCTGGGTGAGGACGCGCCGTACGACCTGGATGAGCAGATCAGGAATGCCCTGCCGGAGAAGCGGGGCGTAACCACGCGCGTTTTTGCGGATTCGGGCGGCCCGGGGCGCGGCGGCGGTCTGCGACTCACGCTCACCGGCGCCAACTACGAAGACGTGCGCATGGCCACCGACCGGCTGCAGGCGGCGGTCGAGCGCGATTCCGGCGTGCGCAACGTGCGGACCAATATCGTGGACGGCAGGGAAGAGCTGACCATCGCCATCGATCCCGACGAAGCGGGACGCTATGGCCTGTCACCGACGAACGTCGCCAACCAGATCCGCACCTGGATGCGGGGCAACGACGTCGCCGAGATCGACCTGGCCGGGGAAACGCTGGACGTGGTGGTGCGGGGCGTTCCCGAAGCCGTGGATGATCCCATGGACCTGCCGTTGCTGCCCATCACGGGAAACGCCGGCGCCGTCTCGCTGGGCAGCATCGCCGACACCCGGCACACCGTAGGCCCCAGCGTGGTAACGCACTTCGACGGCCACCGCTCCGCCACGATTTCAGGCGGGCTGGCCGGACGGGACGCTGGCGCCATCGGCGAACGGGTCGACGCGATCATCGCATCCACGACGCTGCCGCCGGGGGTGAGCGTGCGGTCCGGCGGCACGTTCAGCGACATCCGGGAAGAGTTCAACAATGTATACGTGGCCATGGCAATCGGGGTGTCCCTGGTGTACCTGGTGATGGTGGCCACGCTGGGTTCCCTGAAGATACCGTTCATAGTGGTGTTGAGCATGCCGCTGGCGGTGGTGGGGGCACTGACGGCGCTGGTCATCACCGACCGGTCGTTGAGCTTGCCGGCGATGATGGGGTTCCTGCTGCTGGTGGGGATCGTCGTGACCAACGCCATCGTGCTGCTGACCTTCGTCCAGCAACTGCGCAACCGGGGCTACGACGCGCTGGACGCGGTGATAGAGGCCGGGCGCACGCGCCTGCGCCCCATCCTGATGACCGCCTTCACCACGATCCTGGCGTTGATACCGCTATCGGTCAGCGAATCCGCGGGGCTGGTGGGCGCGGAACTCGCCACTGTCGTCATCGGCGGTCTGCTGAGCTCGACGTTCCTGACGCTGGTGGCGGTCCCGGTGGTGTACATGTTGTTCGAAGAGTCGGCGCCGAACCTGTACCGCCGAGCGTTGAGGTTGTTGGGGATACGGGCGGGTCGCCCGGCGGAAGCCATCCATGCCGAGGAACTCGGCCCACTGGCCGGCGGAGGCTCCGGCGTCAATCCGGGCAACGATTAGTCCGGAGCGGTCCAGGTCGCGGACCCAGCTCACCCAATGAAAGGCGACGCGGCGATCCCGTCGCCCTAACGACGCCGTGTCGGCCGACGAGATTGCCACGCTGCGCTCGCAATGATGGATCGGTCCGCATGGTTCCGTTCGCATGGGTCGGTCCGCATGGGTCGGTCGGCACGGGTCGGTCCACATGGTTTGCGATTACTGCTTCACGATGTCGGGACTGGGTGAGATGAAAAGGTGAGTGACTTACCTCCTGCTTTGCTATGGTCTGCTTGCGGTTTTGATTTGGGTGTCAGGCGTTGCGGTTTCGGGTTGGTGTCGGAGCGCAGCCAACACTGTTTTTGAGCGCAAATCTTTTGAGTCCCAAGCTTCTGTGACCCGCGGGGAACCGGCCAAGGAGGCCGGCGCCATGCGGCACGGGGCGGAGGTGACACCCGCCGGGTCGTAACGCGGCCGCCCCGCGGAATAGAACGGGTAGCGGCAGCTGCCGACCATGATGCGAAGAACCGACTGGGCCGTTGCCGACCCGAAACCGTATCGCCTAGCTATTCAGATTTAGGTTCGGCGACGCCGCTGGCCTGGCGGCGGTTCCGGCGGGGGTCGCGAGGCCGCGCCGGGATTGCCTGACAGGGCTATGATAGAACATGGGTACTGTTAGTGCAAGGGGCAGATGTCATTGGGGCAGGGTCGTTGGATTGTCGCCGTGGGGAATGACACGACGCGGCGGCGGGGCAACGCATCGGTGTTTGGCAAGAGCCGTTGCTACGGCGACGAGATTGCCACGCTGCGCTCGCAATGACGTTCGGGCTGCTGGCAGTGACATTCAGGATGCTCGCAGTGACGTTCGGGCTGCTCGTAGTGGTATTCGGGCTGCTCGTAATGCCATTCAAGTTGATGGTAATGGCATTTCGGCAATTTGAATGACGCGGAGACGGACGGACGGTTGGCGTTCACCGGGACGAAATTCCGGTATGATAGTTGGGCTCATATCCCATCAATTGAACTAAACAGGAGCGCACAATGTACCTACTGAGAAGGATATTCAAGGCCAAGCCCGGCGAGGCCCGCCGCGTGGCCAGCCTGCTGCAGAAGCAGGCGCAGATCTACCACGAGGCCGGCCAGCGCAGCGAGTTCAAGGTCTATTTCAATGGCGCCACCGTGCCCGGCAAGAGAGACGTGGTCGTGCTGGAGTGGACCGACGAGGCGCTGATGTCCCCCATGCGCGGCGGGCACTCTTTGCCAGCGGCGGCCCTGGAAATTGGGGCGCAGATCCGTCCGCTGGTGGAGGGCAACCGCATCGAGTTCATGGAGTTGATGACGCCCGACAAGATGCTGGACGTCTAATCACCGGGACATTTAATCGCTGGCATATTCAGGAGGCAAGATCGTGGAAGTAGCACAGGTGGCAGAGATACTCCTGGAGCGCGGGCAGACGGTGTCCGTTGCCGAGGCGTGCACCAACGGCCTGCTCGGCTATACGCTGGGCACCATCCCGGGCGCGTCCCGGTTCTTCCCGGGCGGCATCGTCGCCTACACCGGGGGCCTGAAGGAGAAGATTCTCGGGGTGCCCGACGAGCTATACGAGACCGCCGGCAGCGTCAGCCGGGAGATGGCCATCGCCATGGCCCGGGGCGCGTTGGAACTGACGGGTACGGACTTTGCCCTGTCGACCACCGGCGTCACCGGCCCGGCCGCGGGGCGCAGCGGACTGCCCATCGGCACCTTCTGGATCGGCCTGGCCGTCAAGGATGGTGAAGACGCCGCCCTCGAGATCCGCGTGGGCGGCGACCGCGACGCCACCAAACACGGCGCGGTGCAGGCCGCCATCGACCTGCTGGGCCGGGAGCTGAGCGGGTAGCGAGAGCGGAGCGTATTGTGGCATATGCCCGATGAGTTTCGCGCGAGGGCTCGTCGATGCCATCGTAAATCCCCCAAAGCGGCATTCCGCGCGGTGGTGGGCATCCCGCATCGTCCCACCAACCGCGACGGTGGCAGAGTTGTTGATGGCGGTTGCCACGTTGCTCCGTCATACAGACTTGGGACAATTGGGGCGCCTATTGGCCGCCACCAATCTTTTGGACCGCGCCGTCAGCGCAACGCAAGTTGATCCGGCAGTTACCCTCGCGGTTCTGGCGATTGCACATATCGGAGTTGAGCGCATCATGGCACTATTGGAAATTCTGCTGAAGCCGCTTTCTCAACGCTCAGTTGGAAGCCGGGATTGAGATGGGTAAAGCTGGGTAAAGCTGAGGGCAAGGCTGAAGGAGAAGCTCACGGCAGGTCCGAAGCCAGCGCAGAATTTGAGGCGTGGAAAGCGCTACAGCGGGCAGCCGGCGTCCGGTTTGTTGAGAACGAAGCGCCGGAAGACCGATCCGGTCCGCAACAATAACGTACCGTCACCATAGGTGTGCTGGCTTTTTGACACGTACAGAGGTACCACAATGAAGTTTGGAGTCTCCCTTTCCGCCATCGCCCAGCAGCCGGCCGGCGCCGACATGCAGCAGGCCTTCGCCGACATCTGCTCCTATGTGGGCGCGGCGCGGGACCTGGGGTTCGACATGGTCTACCAGGGGCAGCACTACCTGACCGATCCCTACCAGCAATTGCAGACGATGCCGCTGCTGGCCCGGATATCGGCGGAGGCTCGGGGCATGGGACTGGTGGCGACCATGCTGATACCCTTGCATCACCCGGTGGACCTGGCGGAACGGGTGGCAACCATGGACGTGATAACGGGCGGCAACTTCACGCTGAGCGCCGCGCTGGGGTACCGGGACGAGGAGTATGACAACTTCGGTGTGCCTCGCCGGACCCGGGTCAACCGCTATCTCGAATGCCTGGAAGCCATGCGCCTGCTGTGGTCGGGCGAGAAGGTCAACTACGAGGGGCAATACTTCCGCCTGAAGGATGCCCAGTTGATGCTGAAGCCGGTGCAGCAGCCCCATCCGCCGGTGTGGGTGGCCGCCAACAGCGACGCCGCCATTACCCGCGCCGCGCGCCTGGGCTACACCTGGTACGTGAACCCCCACGCCAAGTTCGAAACCATCAGCCAGCAGGTGGAGATGTATCACGAGGCTGCCGGCGCTGCGAACTCGGGCGCGCCGGACCGCCTGCCCCTGGGTCGGGAGGTGTTCGTGGGTCGCACTCACGAGGAGGCTTTCGCCAGCGCGGCGCCCTACCTGGGCGGCAAGTACGAGGCCTACGCCCAGTGGGGCCAGGACAAGGCGCTGCCCGGCGATGAAAACTTCCGCGAACCCTTCGAGGATTTGGCCCGCGACCGCTTCGTCATCGGCAACCCCGACGAGGTGGTGGAGGAGCTAACCCGCTACCGCGAGCTGGGGATGTCCCACGGCTGCTTCCGCATGATGTGGCCCGGGATGCCTTTGCAGGATGGGGTCGCCAACCTGGAGCTGTTCGCAGAGCGGGTGGCGCCGCATCTGAGGGAGGATTAGATTAGGGTTCGCGTGGCAGAGCGGGGACTTGCGATAATTCTTGACCAATTTTGTTGGCCGCGATGGGTGAGCCCCGCCGGGTTATGTTCGGATGAGGAGCGGTAGGTAACGCCAGCTAGCCGAGAACGGACCCTGTGCCGCCAGACTGCACCCTTATCGAATAGCAAGAGCCTCGGCGTCATCGATGTACGCGGCCGTTTCTCTAATGCGACGTTCGGTGTGCCGGTTGCACCGCCCATCGTAGAAGCAGGCCCCGTGCAGTTGACCGAGACGGCTGTAATAACGGCCTTGGAGAGTTCTGGCCACGGGTTCTTGATCGGTCAGGTCGTCCAGATCGTCGGTAGTTCTGGCGGTGGTTACGGGCTCGTCTCCAGTCAGGGCCAATATGAGCGCGTCGGTGGCGCGTTTGGTGGCGCACCAGGCTTTTTCCGCCGCGTCGCGGATGTCACCGTGTTCAAGGCGTTGAACGGCTTGAGCGTGGATATCCCGAGCATCGGCGAAGAGTTCGTCCACACGATCCTGTACTGAAGTAGTTGTCATTAATCAACTCCCGCGACTGTGCGAAGCCAACAATGGCTCTGCGTGCCAGTCTGCGACGCGGTTACCGTATCCGAAACGGCCGGCCCCCGGCACGATTGCATTGTAGCGTCTACCCCGCCCGCAGCGTCTGCTCCGTCTCGGCGTGGGCCTTGACGCGCTCCCAGTCGTAGAGCATGGGCGTCATTTGCACTTTGCTCCACATCTTCGACTGGTCGGAGAAGTGGGGGCTGGCCGGGTGGCCCGAGGCTCCCAGCGGAACCGCCCAAAGCGAGCGGTCCCAGTTCGCCGGGTCGTAGGCATACCGGAACACCGAGAGCCCGCCCACCGTCGCCAGGTCGCCCGGCGCGTAGGACCCGGCCCAAGGGGTGTCGCCGTCGCCGCCGGTGGCGATCTCCGGTGGGTTCAGTAGTGCGCCCAACTCCGGCGTCGCCATGGACAGCGGATGCTGCGGCCGCGCACGGTGCACCCGGTCCCACCGCCAGCCGGCGACGTCGGGACCGAGCTTTGCGGTCAGCGTGCGGACCGCTTCGTGCAACGCAGTGGTTAGCGCGCCCGGCCAGTCCGCGCTATCGGGCAGCAGGTCGGTGTCACCACCGGAGATGGCATCGGTCATCAGGTTCTTGAAACGGTTCAGGAATACTCCGCGTCCCCGGTCGGCCGGTTGCCAGCCTATTGCAGCCAGGTCCTCGCCGATGTTGTGCTTCAGCAGCCGCCACAGCAGGGCGTCGCGCATCGCGCTGTATATCGTCGGCTCCACCGCGTCGGGGTCCATGCTGCCGGACCAGTGCTGCAACTTCGCCAAGGCTGCCGCGACCACCGCATCATCCGGTGCGGAAACGCCGGCCAGCGCGCTGACGTAGGTCTGAGCCGGCAGTGACACGCGCTCGGCGTGGATGCGACCCATGTCAGCGGCGGAGGCATGGGGTACGCTGCGCACGCCGTGGGCCACGCGCATGGCCCGGTAGCCGGGGGCGAAATCCATGGAGATGTAGTAGGGGTAGTCCGCACCTACCGGCCGGTTATTGGCGGTGACGATGTAACCCTCCGCGGGGTTGATGTTGCGGGGCATCTCCTTGAAGGGGATGCTGCCCTGCCACTCGTGCTCTCCGTCCCATCCGGGAACCGGCAGGGGCGCGCCGACGTCGCCGGGACGCCGGGGGATTTCGCCCCGGCATTGGTACCCGATGCTGCCGTGCACGTCGGCCATGACGAAGTTGTTCACCGGGTCAACCCAGCCCGCCATGGCATCCGCCAACTCTTCCACGCCGGTGGCTTCCAGCATGGCGGGCAGGATGTCGGTCCACGGGTCGCCGCCGTCGCCGGCGGTGTAGCGCAGGGCCAGGCCGTAGCCGGACATCGGGTCGCCGCCTACGACGGAACCGTGGTGCGTTGCCCACGTCCGCAGGTGGACGTTATTACCGTCCCGCACCCTGATGACCTCGTCGCGAACGTCGGCGTTGTACCAATCTTCCTGATGTTGGTAGAGCGAAGGGTCGGCGTCGTTGAACAGCTCGATGTAGAGGTCCTGGTAGTCGGCGGCGGTATGGGTCACGCACCAGGCGACCCAATGGTTGTGCCCGAAGTGTGGGAAGCCGGGCACGCCGGCGAAGGAGTTGCCGACCACGTCGAAGGTGTCGCAGGCCAGGTGGTTCTGGTAGTAGACGCTGGGGGTGTCCAGGCCACGATGGCTGTCGCCGGCCAGCAGCCCGCGACCGGTGGCGGTGCGCTCCGGCCCGATGGCCCATGAGTTGGAGCCGCTGTCCATCTCGCCGATGAGGTTCAGGTTGGCGGCGTGTTCCAGCAGTTGCTCCAGGCCGAAATCGACCGCGCCGTCATAGTCAGCGCCGGTGGGAATGATGACCGGCTGACCCGGCGGGTAGGATGGGAACAGCGCGGCGGCACGCTCCGGTCCCAACGCCTTGACGAGCCGCGCCCGCCAGGCTTTTGTCTCGAAGACGCCCATGAAAATGTGCCGCACCTTGTAGATGGCCAGGCTGTGCCACGGCTCCCACGGCTCGGGTGCGATGCCGGCGATGGTATATTCAGCCGGCAGCGGCGCGTCGCTGTTGATGAAGGCGTTGACGCCGGCGGCGTAGGACACAAGCATGGCCTTGGCTCGTGGGCCGGCCGCCTCGCAATCGGCGCGGGCTGCATCCTCCAGCCGGTGCCGGCGCATCTGCATGTCCTGCCCCACGGCGGACTCGCCGGCCGCCTCGGCCCAGCGGCCCACGGCGCGGAGGCGATCGAACTCCATGGCCCACAGCCGGTCCTGGGCGGTGACGAAACCCTGGGCGAACCAGGCGTCGTGTTCGCTCACCGCGCGGACAGGGGATTCCCCATTGGTCACGCCAGACCCGCACGTCGGCCTTCAGGCCGGGCAGGCGCAGCGTGCCATCCAGGGGAGGGAGCGCCGCTTTCAGATCGTGGTCAGTGAGGGAGGCGGGATTGGTGGCGATGATCGTCATGGCGGTCAACTCCAGTATTGGCTGGGGTCATATTACCGCACGACGGACCGGCGGGGGAGTTTTGGAGTCTCCTCACGCGTACCACTTTGCCAGGTTTGCAGCCGGGCCCGCTGTCATGGCGGGACCGGCGTGGCGAGGCTATTTGGGCGTGGTCGGTCAGTATCGGAACGAGATTGCCACGCTGCGCTCGCAATGACATTTGGGGCGCTCGGGATGACAGTTTAGTTGCTCGGGATGACAGTTTGGTTGCTCACGATGACAATCATGCGGCTCGCATGACAAAGTTGGTGCGCGTATGCCGGTTTCCGATCGATATGTATCGCCGTGGTACGGGGGTCAGCGGCGTGGCGACTCCCGTTCGGCCGGCGTTCCCTGCAGCATTTCCCGCACCTCGAGGGGCCGAGGGAGTGGCGGGAACCTGACCGGCGGGGCCGGTTTCGGGTCGGGCCAGCTCGGGCGGTTCGGCGGCGGGTCGGGTCAGCTCGGCGGCGACGGCCGCGATGCGTTCGCGGGCCAGGCGGCAGTATTCGTCGGACAGGTCGATGCCAACGTACCGGCGCCCTTCCATCAGGGCGGCGATGGCCGTGGTGCCGCTGCCGATGAACGGGTCGAGCACCACCTCGGCAGTGGTGGCAGCTATGGCCCGTCGGGCCAGTTCGACCGGGAAGGACGCCGGATGCGGATTGCCCCGGTCCTGGCGGATCTGCCACACGTCGCCGACGCCACCAGCCTTGGGCGCGAGGCGGAACTCCGGGTTGGCGAGCAGGTAGATGACCTCATAGGTGGGCAGAAAATAGCCGGGATTGTGGTTGAACCCGCCGGAGCGTTGCCAGATGATGATCTGGCGGACGGGCAACCCGTCCATGATGTCGGCGCGATCCTGTAGCAGGCCGCGCTGCACCCGCCACTTGTGATTGTAGAAAATTGCTCCGCCGGGAGTGAGCACCCGCAGCATTTCCCGGAGACACTCACGCTGCCACTCGACATAATCGGCGTGGGGCATGCTGTCGCCGTGCTCCGCGTAACCCTGTTGCAGCATCAGGGTGGCGCGGGACCACTTGCCGCCGTTGCCGTTCTTCATCCCGGTGCCGCTGCTGTTGAGCAGGTTGTAGGGTGGCGAGGTGACCACCAAGTTCACCGACGCCGACGGCATCCGGCTCATGGCCGAAAGGCAGTCGTCGCAGTGGATCTGATTTAGCCAGGGTTCGATGCTGGTCGGATTCATAGAAGGCGTCTAAAGCACGCCTATTGAACCCCAAGCAGTGGATTTCGCGCATAGAGAGGCCCCGGCGGGTTTCGGCGTATCTGCCCGGCGGCATGGGGTGTCTTACCCGACAGTCGCCGTGCGCCCATGCGGTTTCGCGAAACGAAAAGGGCGGCGATGAAGCCGCCCAATCCAGGGATGAGATTGGCCGGTTCTCCGCCGGCCGCGTCCCTGGGGTCAACCCGTGGGCCGGGCCACCAGCAGGCCGTCCTCCCGCGTCACCCGCATGGC